TGTCTTGAAAGGTTGGTTCTCAACAGTTGTAGCAGTTTAAAAGAGATACATCCATCAATTGGATATCATGAAAGGCTTATTTTCTTGGCCATGGACCATTGTACAAGCCTTGAACTGTTTCCACCCATCTTTCGAATGAAAAAGTTGGAGACTCTTATACTTTCTCATTGCCCTAAGCTTTGTAAGATCCCAGAGATCCAAACCAGCATGGACAACTTGGTAGAGTTTAGTTTGAGAGAAACTGGGATAGAAATTGTACCCTCATCAATTGGACAATACTGTAAAAACCTTGTTTCTTTTGATTTGAGGTCGTGTAGATATCTTCATAGCATTGAAGGCAACTTCCATCTCTTAAAACATCTGCAATGGCTTTATCTCAAGGGTTGTGATCAACTTAAGAACATACCAACAGAAGGCCTCTTCGATGTAGAATGTTGTTTAAATGTGCTTTCTTTATCTTTGACCAATCTTCAGCCAGGAGCACTGAATGATTTTCTTGGCTTTCCACGTTTTTTAAGAAGGTTGAACCTTGGAGGGTGCAATTTGGTAGATGAAGACATCTCCTCTATTTTTTGGGAGGAGTTTTCCAACCTACAAGTATTAGACCTAAGTGCAAATGATTTTTCACGATTGCCGTCCAGCCTTTCGCAACTTCCTCATCTCAAATTCATTGACCTGTTTGGTTGCTATAACCTTGTGGAATTACCGGACCTCCCATCAAGCATATCTATCCTCATTGCAAACGGGTGCACGTCTCTTAAAATTGGAGATTTTCCAACAAACCATCTTAAATGGTTGTGGAAAGTCATACTTCCACCAAGCAATTATAATGGCGAGAGGGTATTGCAATCCATGCTTCAGGTATATATCTTSTTGAATTTCAATATATATATATGCATAGACCCAAACAAAATTATGATGCTAATAATATTCATCATGACAGGGAAATGCTATCGAAGACTACTTTATTAGTATCCTATTTGAAGAATRTTATGTTCCAATAAGAGGCTTTGCACGGGAAGCATTTACGTTACAACTTCCGTGGAATTGGTACAGCGAATTCTGTGGATTCTTAATATATATTGRTAGATGGAAAGGGCAGAGGGATAAAGTCATTGTTATCAAGGATGTATTGAGTGTGGAAAATGGAGATGGTGTTTTAGAGGAGTCTAATAAACCTGAGCATCATGATGATGATGATGATGATGATGATGATGATAAAGAAAGTAGGACAGCAGCAGCAATGTGCTATATATCCTTTGGTTCATTGAGGAACACCTCATGGTGGAATTCGACCCACACTACCCTTTCACTTTCTTTTCAAAGATGTGTYGACTTAAAAGTTGAACTTGTACCTAGGAGAAGTCAAGGTGATGATGATTCAATGGGAATAGGAAGGGCGAAAGATGCAACATACCTTTCAAATTTTTGGGATGAGGAATTTCTAAATCRAAAGACGTTTGAGATCATACATGATTCAAAGTCCTCTAKTCAGATTCAATGGGCCACTGGTATTGAATCAGACTTGTTCGATCGTATCTAATATTCTTTTCATCGTTTGTGGCATTTTTATAGAAATTGTTGTATATTTTTTCCCTTTCTCCTTTGTTTGAAACCTATCGTTTTCTCTCTCAACTAATTAYCTATTGTTTTAACATTCATTTAATAAATAAAATAATATTTTTGTATTTRAGTTTAAAWAAAACATTACAACAAAATCAGGTTTATAAGACGCTTAAAGTGTTCTCCACTTTAGCCTCTTGCGAACAACGGCCCTTGTTCAGGTATAGACTAGTCTYTTCTCGCATGTTATTCAGCAATTCCATAAACCCTAATCGATTCTTTTTTGTAAATTTGTGATTTTTCCAGATACTCTGGTYGTAAATTGGGCCAGAAAACATCTCATCTTGTGTCTCATCTCAATCTTAAACCCTAATCGATTTTTCTTCCGGTATTTCTCAAACCTTTCATCCTAATCGTTTTCTTGGCCATTTGCTTACAAATTGCTTATTGCTACAGACGCTAATTTGTTATAAAATTGCTTATTGCTCCAGACTGTAATTTGTTGATAARTTGTCTATTGCATACAAAATGTTGTCTTTTTATTTGATTTGTGTCACTKATGTGGTTTTTCTAGATAAAACAAAAGAGACSAGTAATGGGTTGTACAATGGAGGTTATGGGATCATATATAAGCCTTTAGATTGGGTCTCTCATGCTCCCTCTTTTAGTACTTTGTTCTTTCTATATGTTCAAACCATTTCATCTAGAAGTAAAGTATATAAAATACTAGTATAATAATATGTTGTTTGGTTTAACCAAAATAGTAAAAATAGGATCCGAAAACTGAACCAAATAAGGGATTAACTGAACCATTATACCGAAAACCAGAATAACCTAAAATCGTTTTGGTTCAGATCGGCTATTCAATATTGTGTTTTTTTGACACCCCTAGGTCTTCCCCCGATCACTTAAGTTTTTGGATATGCCCCCTCCCCTGAGTTTGAAGTTTCACTCACATTATTTATGGAACAAAGCCAATAAAAGAGGTTTTCTGCTTTCACATAACCCTGGGGCAAAAGAAAAAGGAATGTTGATCGTCAATCAAACAAGTGATTGGAAAATAATTGCACTTAAAGAACACATCATCAATGAAGGAATTTATAGAGACTGAATAAGTAGCAAGTGACCAACTCCATGAATTAAAGCATGTAAATCATCAATTTTGTTTAGAGTGTCTGATATACCTGGACACTTGCTCCAATCCATTTCAAGCACTTACCCAGATGAAGATTCTGACATTATGTCCTGTAAAAAAATCGTAACCGAATTTCCTTCATTGAGCTTCTTTATGTCATTCTTGGGTGTGATTTTCGCACCTTCTAATTCATACATGACCATCGATCAAGGGAATGTAGACAAATTGATAACACATATCATAATTTAAGGGAATGGAGAGGAGTTGAGAAGTCTAGTTTTCCTTTTCATCATTGATACTGAAGGGGAGTTACCACACGTCGATTCTATCATTCTTATTCATCACTTTGGATATACGTATCAAGAGAAATACAACTAAATATCAAAGGAACAAGTACACAAACCTCTTGCTTGGTGAAGGGGCTATTGTATGTGTTCTATTTCTTGTTGATTTTCCCTCCTCTTGGTTTTCATTTGTTTTACTTTCTATTTTTAGGTTGATGCCTTAATGATGGAGATCATTTTTCCATCTGAAAATGAAGTTGCAAAACTAACTTCTGCTGGCCATAACAGTTACAAGATGTAGATGGGTAAGTAAATTTCTTCTGTTTCACCTTGCTACTTTGTTTTTGGACACAACCAGATGTGGGTTTTTACGAAATTGGTTCCCAAACCTCATTTATTACTATTGATATGCATTTTTTTTTTTACGGATTTGGCACTTGAATCAAACGCTCCTCGCCATCCTTTATTAAACTTTATGGTATTTCGGTCACTTCTCCATTTCAATATCATCTTTAACTTTCTTAATGAACTAGACTTTGTACTTTTTAAATACACCAATCATATGGTGACACGTGTCTTACATGTTATTGCCAATTGTCTTTTTTGTTTATAAAAAATAAACAAATTATTATATGTATTATATTTTAAAAAAATTGGAGTTCTCAAATATATATGTATAAGATCGTCGTTACCAACCAACTACACCTTCCATCTCTGTTGTCATCTCTTTCGATGAAACGCATGAATAGAACACACACACTTGAAGTAATACTACCAGTAGCAAATACAGCCAATTGTACAAGTTCATTCAAAACTCTAAAATCAATTTCAACTAGAGTTTTAAGCTCTCGATTCATAGACCTTTCAACTCCATTTTCGTCTTCCAAATGGATGAACACACACATACACAAAAGGAATGGAGGAGAGAAATGAAGGAATGACGACTCAACACTTCACCTCCATTCATTCATCTCAACGACTTCTCGAATGTTTTGATACCCATCACAGTCGCCTTCCTTTTCATCAGTAATCTTCATCACTATTAATCTTCTTCAAATCCCCACCTTTACCCTTCACCGCACATTTTGTGGTGGATGACTTGAGAGCGTGAGCAATGTGAAATAGGTTTTTGGATCTGTGTATTTTGGCCCAGTCATCATCATTAACCTTGAATTAAAATACTATCTAATTCACGATTCAAATAAAATAAAACCGTAAATTTAGCATTCAGATTGACGTAATAAGTTCTTGACTTCTAAATTGAGATGCGACGCCATCGTGCAGGCACTTTTTTTTTTTTTTTTTGATAGGGAGGGGTAGACCCCTCCAGATCAAGATAAAACGCTAAAATGCTAAAAGCAAGACAAAAGACGCGCACGGGTGGGGCGAACCACATCCACCAGAAAAAGACCAAGGCACCCCGAAAGGAGGGAGGGAAGGGAAAGAAGAAGGGGAGAAAGAAAACCAACCACAAGGGAAGGTCCCTGATGGGTCAAGCCAGGGCAACAAACGGGGAAAACAACAAGGGGCGGAGAAAGGGCCTAAAATAGGCTCACCCTAAACCGAACCAAGAGATCCAAGAAGGCAAAGGAACACAAAGGGCTCACTATGCACGAGAAGAAACATCATTGGACCATAGGGGAGGGGGTAGAGTCCATCAGCTCAAACTCCTGAGAGGACTTCGAATCAACCTGGGAGGAAGAGATATCATTGGTAAGAAATCGTGCGGTGTCGCCATTATCTGACTCAACCTCACTAATGTCATCCTCACTAAGGAGGTCATCCTGATTAAGAGGATCATCCTCAATCTCAGAAGAAGCAGGGGGGCAAGGGGCGAGAAGAGGAAGACTCAGGGTCAGCTAAAACAGAAAAACGGTTAGAGGAGGAAGAGAGAGCCTTGGAATTTAACCGGGTGGGGGGTTAGGAGGTTTAGAAGAGAGATGATTATGGGGGGTCTATGGGGGAGGTAGGTCTACAAGGGGAGGAAAAACCCATTTGGGGGGGAACTCAATGGGGGGGCGATTTTCCTTTGACAGGGTGATATTCCTTGCGAGGTGGAAGAGGGGGTGTCCTTTTTAGCATGATGAGAAATTTTTCTTTTAATGGTTTGGAAACCATCATTATCAATAAAAGGCACTTTCTCAACATCATTTTCAGCACCTTGAGATATGACATGAGAGCACAAAGAGGTAGAATGACCAAAAACATTGCAATAAGAACACATAGAAGGTTTCCAATCGTACTCAACTCTAAGATCATAAGAAGACATAATAAGGGTATCCGGGTTCGGAATACGAACCTTAACAAAATCTAACCAAGTTTGCCTAACGGGGACTTCAAGAAGCACCCGGGCAAAGGTAGATTTTCCCGCAGCATAAGTACACATATTAGCAGTCCATGAATCCATAGCCAAGGGTTTACCAATTTTACTGGCAATATAACTTAGGCCCTCATCATTCCAAGCTTCATAGGGGATGTCATGAATTTTCACCCATAAAGGAATAGACTCATGCTTAGTAGAACTAAAATTCAAACGAGGCTTCCATTTCTGAATAAATATGGGAACATTTTTAATGGTCCATGGGCCATTATCAATCACCTTTTGAATGCCAACTTCATCATTAAATTTGAAAAGATAAATGTCGTGACCATTCAAAAGCACATCCACAATACCATATTGAGACCAAATTTTAGAAGCATAGTAGCGAACAACCGGGTAAGGAAGGCTTTTTCCCACAAAATATCCGCATAAAAGTTTTAACATAAGTAATACAACTTTTTTGCACGACAGACAAAGGGATATCAACAGGCGCATTCATGTCATCAAGCATATTATGGATAAAATGAAAATTAGCATTATCATGTTTATGGGAGCCACTAAGAATATTAGCATAAGAATTAGGGAGGATGGGATTATTTTTTCAATTCCTAACCAGATTAGGATTTTCTTTAAAATTAAAATCTTTTTTGAGTTTTTTCATTGTAGAGATTTTCATCAGAAAAATTACTAGAAATCTTGACATTGGAGACGATATTGGAACAGGCATGCAAGACAGGGGGAAGCTCAAGAAGGACAAGGGCCAAGGATGGACTGCTATTTGGATCCACAATCTGAACTGGGCTAGCACCACCAAAATTAGAAACAACAGCAGGTCCACCATTGGAACAACCAGGTTGAGGGTCCACATCCATTTGGGCCGGTTTTAAATTACAGTCCACAACACCATCCATATGAGAAGAATGCACCGGCCCACTCACTTGACAAGGGCTGTATGGCAAACAAGATGAGGTAAAAGGTTCGGTCCAATAGCTACCATCCCATTATCAAATCAATGCATGCGCATGGGAATTAGAAATAGAAAAGGAGCTAGGGCCTCCACTATTGAAAAGGTGAGACATGTGGCCTTCTTCACAAACTCCAACACCACAAGGGTTTTATCCATTAGATCAGAGGCTTTAACTTTTTCTTTTTCAAAGATATCCCCGCAAGCAAGCATTCACCACTGGACGGTTCCATACCAGACGGTTCAAGATCCAAAACAAGAGTGTTAGTAGGAGGAGTAGGAGGGTTCATTAAACTACTAACCTGGGACGACTGTTGCATAACCCATTTTTCAACACCGTTTAGAGTGGGCTCAGAGGCAGAAGGACCCTGGGCCTGGACAATATTCAACTTCTCCACAGGTGCCATATTGGTTAAAGATCCAACGGCAGCAACATGAACAACCGAATGGGCTCAGGCAAGAAATTCAAACTGCTTCGGCCCAAGAGAGAAGAGCCAACGGTCTGGATGGGCTTAGGAGAAGATGGGCCGTTGGTTTTGTTTGGCAGTCCAGTCAACGCGTCGAGAGGGCCAGCAACTCCTTCAAAAACATCACTAGATTTATCATTACTACTTTCAGCCGCTGCCGAATGCATGAAGGAATTGTCTGTTGGACCATCAACAAAGCTAGAGGAGGCATTGTCCTTCATGTCAAAGACCAGCGGTCTAGAGGGAGAAGCATCACCCAACATGTCACCTTTTCACCACTTTCCAACCCAACTTTTTGACTTCACTTCCACCTTTTAGCAAGATGTCAACCTTTTCAAATAAAACTTTACACAAGGGGCAATATCATTACCCGGTTGAAGCTTTTGCCCACTGAACGATAAAGAGCTTTCCATCCCTAACCCATTAGTTTCCAAAGAAGAGCCTCCATCCAGACTGACATGGGAATTTTTTCTTAAATTAAATCAAATCCATTCTGCTTCTTCAACCTTCTTGTAGTACCCATTCTAAACAAGTAAACCTTTCAATGGCATCCTCATCTTCTGAATCGTGGAATCATGATGTTTTTCTCAGTTTTAGAGGAACGGACACTCGCACCACCTTCGTGGATCATCTCTATTCTGTATTTGTACAAGAAGGAATCTACGCCTACAAGGATGACCAAACACTTTCCCGGGGCGAAACCATCGGACCATCACTTTTGAAGGCTATTGAAGAATCACAGATTGCTGTCATTGTATTCTCCGAAAACTATGCTGATTCTTCTTGGTGCTTGCAAGAACTTGCTCATATTATGAAATGCAAGGATGAGATGGGCCTGATTGTTATGCCCATATTCTATCACATCGATCCCTCTGAAGTCCGAAAACGTGAGGGGAAATATGGAGAAGCACTAGCAAAACATGAGTTGGAGAACAAAAACGTTGAATCTTGGAGAAAAGCACTTGTGGATGCAGGGAACCTATCTGGATACGTCGCCGATGGGTAATCTTATTCTTTGTTTTCTTCAAAAATTTATGCTTCAAGTGTTTGTACTCTACCACACAATTATATTTGTAACTATATATAACTCCATTAAAAAATCTGTATTTGTGGGAGAACAGATTACCTCTTTTCTCAACTGGAGCAACTGTTTTTCTAAATATGTAATATTTATCTGCCAACAAATGTAACAAATAAAATCACACACCCTCCAAACCTCCTAAGAGGCCTAAGATTTGAATGCCGCTAGGCCAAATACCTTTGGTTAGAGCATCTGGTAATTATCCTTGTATATCCAATGTCCAGGCCCGAGACGATATTCATCAAACAAGTTGTTGACGCCATTTCAATTAGATTGGCTGCGGCAATTTCAATTGACAATGAAGACTTGATTGGAATGAAGGCTCGCCTTCAAAATCTGAAATCTAAGATGGAAATGGAATCAGATGGTGTACTGATGGTAGGCATATGGGGGCTTGGGGGTGGTGGCAAGACTACTCTTGCATCTGCTCTTTATGATGAAATCTCTAGCAACTTTGATGGTTCCTGCTTTCTAAACGATGTTCGGGAAGAATCTAGAAAACATGGTTTGCCAAAATTGCAAAAAAAAATTCTCTCACTTGTTTTGAAACTAAAAACAGAGGAAGTAGTTGGAGATGTAGGAAGCTTGATAAAGAGTAGGTTCCGCCGTAAAAAGGTGTTGATGGTTCTTGATGATGTGGATCATGCTGACCAGCTAAAGGAGTTGGCTGGATCAGATGCTTGGTTTGGTAAAGGAAGCCGAATAATAGTCACAACAAGAGATAATCATTTGTTAAATGCTCGCAAAGTAAACGTGATATTCAATATCAGCTTGTTAAATGATGATGAGGCTATTAAGCTCTATTACAAGCATGCACCTGGCAATCATAGACCCATAGAAGATTATGAGATGCTTTCAAAAGATGTAGTCTCTTATGCTGGTGGGCTCCCGTTAGCACTTAAAGTTCTAGGTTCTTTTCTATGTGACAAAGACATGAGTGAGTGCATGAGTGCATTGGCCAGACTAAAAGAGATCCCGGATAGTGATATTGTAGAAAAGCTAAAAATTAGCTACGATGGACTTAAACCCACGGAGAAAGAGTTGTTCCTAGATATTGCATGTTTTTTTAGGGGAAAAAGGAAAGATGAGACAATGGAGATACTTGATGCTTGTGGTTTTCACCCTATCATAGGGGTAAAGGTGTTGACACAAAAGTCTCTCATAACTGTGTCAAAAGAAGGAACGTTTGATATGCATGATCTGATACAAGAAATGGGACATTACATTGTTAGAGGAGAAAATCCTAAAAATCCTGAATTACACAGCAGGGTTTGGCATTACGGAGATATTGTAAAAATATGTGGTATGGATGCAATGAAGGTAATGTTGGAGGGAGCTTTGTTTGTATATATGTTATATAAAGATATGTGGTCTAACTGAACACTATAATCGTTTTGTTCCTTTATCATAGGAAAATGACAGGATTAAAGCATTACAAGCTCGGTTTTGGCGGAAAGAAGAGGTTCCTCCTAGTTTTCCTGAGGTTGTTGGTAACATGAAGAAACTTCGGTGGTTTTATTGGTATGAATATACAGCAACTTCATTGCCAAGAGAATTTCAACCAATGGAGCTTTGTTGTCTACAATTGAGATGGAGCTTGGTAGAGCAACTTTGGGAGGGTTATAAGGTAATTCTTATTGTTTCTCTAATTAATTAAGGGATGATAATTAGTCATAAATCTAACTAATTTACAGACTAATAAATCATAAGTAGTAATATTGATATGATTGAATATCGGTGTCATTAGGTGACCCTATGCATGTCAAACTCTTAACTAATTAGCATTTAGAAGAGAAACACAATTAAGTAATCAACCATGGGAAAAGTTCAATTTTGATCAAATTTGTTATGACGAATTAAAGCACCTGATCATTAATGTATGTGTGATTTTAAACATTAATTCCTTTTTATATTAAAAAACGATTTTGCTGTGATTTTTATATTCAGCTGATTGTATATGTTATAAATGTGTTGCAAAAAGCGGAAGAGAACAAGGGTGTTGACCCTAATCTGATCCATGGCTCGTTTTAATTTGTTTATGGAAAATATAATTAATTTGTGTTAGTTATCATATATACACTCTATATATGATATTAAAGAATACATTGATATAATTGACTCGTGTGCTATTGTATACAACAGCATCTACCAAATTTGAAAGTGTTGGACCTCACTGGTTCCACAAAGCTAGTCAGGACACCGGATTTTGATGGACTTCCATGTCTTGAAAGGTTGGTTCTCAACAGTTGTAGCAGTTTAAAAGAGATACATCCATCAATTGGATATCATGAAAGGCTTATTTTCTTGGCCATGGAATATTGTACAAGCCTTGAACTGTTTCCACCCATCTTCCGAATGAAAAAGTTGGAGACTCTTATACTCTCTCATTGCTATAATCTTTGTAAGTTCCCAGAGTTCCAAACCAGCATGGACAACTTGGTAGAGCTTAGTTTGAGAGGAAGTGGGATAGAAATTGTACCCTCATCAATTGGACAATACTGTAACAACCTTGTTTCTCTTGATTTGAGGCGGTGTAAATATCTACTGAGTATTGAACACAACTTCCATCTCTTAAAACATCTGCAATTGCTTTGTCTTGACAGTTGTGTTCAACTTAAGAACATACCAACAGAAGGAGCAGTGAATGAATTTCTTCGCTTCCCATGTTTTTTAAGAAGGTTGAGTCTTGGAGGGTGCAATTTGGTAGATGAAGACATCTCTGTTTTTTGGGAGGAGTTATCCAACCTACAAGTATTAGACCTAAGCCGTAATAAGTTTTCACGACTGCATCCCAGCCTCTCGCAACTTCCTCGTCTTAAATTCATCGACCTTTCTGATTGCTATAACCTTGTGGAATTACCGGATCTCCCATCAAGCATATCTATTCTCATTGCAAACGGGTGCACGTCACTTAAAATTGGAGATTTTCCAACAAACCATCTTAAATGGTTGTGGAAAGTATCACTTTCAACAAGAAATTGTAATGGCGAGAGGATATTGGAATCCATGCTTCAGGTATATATTTTGTTGAATTTCAATATTAATTTGTATAGAATTATGATACTAATAATATTCATCATGACAGGGAAATGCTATTGAAGACTACTTTATTAGTATCCTAATTGAAAATTGTTATGTTCCAATAAGAGGCTTTGCACGGGAAACATTTACGTTACAACTTCCGTGGAATTGGTACAGCGAATTCTGTGGATTCTTAATATCCATTAAGAGTTTGAATGGGAACATGGAAGAAGTCATTGTTATCAAGGATGTATTGGGTATGGAAAATGGAGATGGTGTTTTAGACAAACCTGACCATCATGATGATGATGATGATGATGAAGAAGAAGAAAGTAGGACAGCAGCAGCAGCAGCAGCAGCAGCAATAGCAATGTGCTATATATCCTTTGGTTCATTGAGGAACACCTCATGGTGGAATTCAACCCACACTACCCTTTCATTTTCCTTACAGACTAATTATGATTTGATAGTTGAACTTGTTCCCGGGAGAAATCAAGGTGATGATTCAATATTGAAAGATGCAACATACCTTTCAAATTTTTGGGACGAGGAATTTCTAAATAAAAAGACGTTTGAGATCGTAAGTGATTCAAAGTCCTCTATTCAGATTCAATGGGACACTGGTATTCGATTAGACATGGTCGGTAATATCTAATATTCTTTTTATTGTTTGTAGCATCTTTATAGAAATTGTTGTATTTTTTTCCCTTTCTCCGTTTTTTGAAACCCTATCGTTTATAATAAATAAAATAATATTTTTGTGTTTAAGTTTAAATAACACATTACAACAAAATCATATATTCGTTTTACAATGTGTATGTTTCACTTATACCCGGTTTACATTGTCAACCTTTTCACTCCACTCTAGCCTCCTGCGAACAGCGACCCTTGTTCAGGTATTGACTAGTCTCTTCTAGTATGTTATCTAGCGATTCTAGAAACCCTAATGGATTTTTTTTGTAAATTTGTGATTTTCTCAGATACTCTTTGGTTGCAAATTGGGCCGGAAAACATCTCTCATCTTGTATCTCATCACAATCTTAAACCCTAATCATATTTCTTCTGGTATTTCTCAAACCCTTCATCCTAATTGCTTTTATTGGCCATTTGCTTACAAATTGCTTATTGCTTCAAACCTTAATTTCTTAGAAAATTGTTTATTGCTCCAAACTGTAATTTGTTGCCTACAAAATGTTGTCTTTTTATTTGATTTGTGTCACTTATGTGGACAATCTAGATAAAACAAAAGAGATGAGTCATGGGTTGTTCGATGGAGGTTATGGGATCATATATAAGCCTCTAGATTGGTCTTTCAGACTCCCTCTTTTAGTAGTTTGTTCTTTCTGTATGTTCAAACCATTTCATCTAGAAGTAAAGTATGTAAAATACTAGTATAATGTGTTGTTTGGTTTAACCAAAATAGTAAAAAAGGTAACCGAAAACTGAACCAAATAAGGGATTAACCAAACCATTATATCGAAAACCAGAATAACCCGAAATCGTTTTGGTTTAGATCAATCATTCGGTTTTGTGTTTTTTGACACCCTTTGGYCCTCCCCCGATCACTTAAGTTTTTGGATCCCCCACCCCCGAGTTTGAAGTTTCACTCACATTATTTATGGAACAAAACCAATAAAAGAGGCTTTCTACTTTCACATAAACCTGGGGCAAAGAAAAACGTAAGTTGATCATCAATCAAACAAGCAATTGGAAAGTAATTGTAGTTAAAGAACACATCATCGGCGAAGTAATTTATAGAGATTGAATAAGTAAAAAGTGAATATAGATGTTGAAGCATAAATGCAGAAAATTAGTAGGTAGGAGCACAATTAACCTTATCCAAAAGGAATTCATAAATATGGGTACATTTAATGATGTACAGAGTGTATTTAGCACACCCAAAAAAATCAATCCACTGTTGTTTGACGAGTCTTTGGTTCCTAGAGTTGTAGAAAAGCTAAAAATCAGCTACCATGGACTTAAACCCATGGAGAGTCTTACCTGGTAAGTGTGAGTAATGACTTATACCCAATATACTAGTTAAATTGTTGCATACAATATGAACTACAATCTTACCCAATAATGTAAGAATTGACCAAGGATGGAAGTAAAACAATGAAAAGTATACCACAGCTAGGGGTTAAGGGATAGATGCAAGATTTTAATAAATACTTATTTTAATAGTAATATAATTATATATTCTGTATTCAATAACCACGAGTGTCTGCACCAGCTTATACACACTTCAACTTGTGTGCTATTGTATACGACAGCATCTACCAAATTTGAAAGGGCTCGACCTCTCTCGTTCCAGAAAGCTAGTTAGGCCACCGGATTTTAATGGACTTCCATGTCTTGAAAGAATGGTAATAAGGGATTGTAGGAGTTTAAAAGAGATTCATCCATCAATTGGATATCATGAAAGGCTTATTTTCCTAGACATGCATTTTTCAGACAATATTCTTTCATTACAAATGTTGTATTTTCTTCTTGTTTGTCAAGTCTTGTTAAATCTTTGTATTTCAAGTGAATAAATGGGCAATTGTAGTCATGGAAGGACCTATAGTGGTGCATATGGTGGCACGTGTCACCGTATTATTCCTTCATCGAAGGGTAAAAAAATTTAGGTTCATGAAATGTGCAACCGTATTAATTTGTTGTGTGTCACCGTATGTATTTTGAATACTACAATGAGAACAAGTTTTATTTGGTAGAGTTGGTTTGCAAGGTTTTTATTTTACCACCAAACCTAAGTTCGAATTTTGTTAGTGTCATTTTCTTAGTCAAATGGTGTCACCGTTTGAAAAAAAAAATCTATATATTTGTTTCTTATAGTCAAACTGTTTGAAATTTTTTCTCATAGTTAAATGGTGTCACTGTTTGAAAAAAAAAATTAGGTATATCCCTACTTGTAGTGTATTTTCTTCATTTTTAATGCACGCATTTTAATTTGATTTTATTAATAAAAAACAAGATTGCGGATCATCTCTTATATGTTGGCACTTATACAATAAGAAATTCATACTTACAAGGACGAAAAAAACGCTTTTTTATCGGTCCATCTAGCTAAACGTTATTGTGAAGTTCGTTTTTATAAGCATCATGAGAAGACAGACAAATCAATATAACCTAAAACAAGAAAATCTCTCCTCTTTCCGACACGGAACGGTGGTCCGGGTGGGATAAGCCACCTTATGGTCTAGATGGGCCTGCACTCCCCCTTGCCAATATGGTGGTCCGGGGGATAAGCTACCTTATGGCCTAGGTGGGCCTGCGCTCCCCCTTGCCAATACGGTGGTCCGGGCAGGATAAGCCACCTTATGGCCTAGGTGGGCCTGTGCTCCCCCTTGGATATAAAAGAAACTTCATATAGGCCCAATAGAGTTACATGTGTTGGTATATCTTTATTGAAATAAATGTTTTGGTGTAGGTGTTCCACAACTGGTTCTCCAACTTAATTAAGGTAGGATAAGTGATATCGGATTCAGCACTCCATCTTATGGCTACTAAACGAATTTCCAAACATTTACATAGTTTGGTGATTCATGTCTTAGGTTTCTCTAAAAGGAAAGCAGTAAGCAGAAGACTTAGGGGCCGTTTACTAAACGCTTATCCGACAAGTGCTTACCGGGTAAGTTTCCTTACCGGATGAACATGGCAGGAGTCAAAAATCTTATCTTATCCGGTAAGAGCAATGATAAAAATTGAAAGTTTTATTCGGTAAGTGAGGGTGACGACTCTTACCCGGGTAATTGCTTACCGGGTAAATTATTGCATACGATACCCTTTTGATGTACTACAATCTTATCCGATAAAATAAATTATAGTATTAACTTCTAACGGTAAGCACTTACCGGATAAGCATTTAAGTAAACGAACCCTTAGTTACTTTAGATATGTATATGTACATTTACGATGTATAATCGATACCTAAGTTTTGCAATCATTGGAACTTCTGATATTATCATCACTGGTCATCGGCCCTTCCGTTTTATCATGGGATATTACACTAATCTCAATTGCTTCATGCAAAATCATATATCAAATATGATATTTTTATCATTTATTGAAAAGCATATTTAGATATCAGAGTAATGTTTAGAAACTTCTACAAAACTAATTGTCGAGTCAAATCCAACCGACCTTGCTTTATCCATGTATTCAAATGTTGGTGTCACACATGTCGTCTTCACGTACAGCCGTCAAGCCCATCTGTTGATCAAGTCGAGTGATGTAACGGGTGTGACGATAACTTAGTAGGTAAGAATATAGAAATGTGTGGATATAGCAACACCCTTTTCGTTATTGCAACGTCTTTTAAAGTTCTAAACAAAAAGTCCGTTTTCCACTTTTAATGATCGTTTTTGCACCAATATTTCCTTCATTTTTCGTTTAAAAATTTTCCTCATTTATGCTTATCCGTGTTGTTCCTTTTTTGTTTAACCTTGGGTCAATGTATACACTTTCCATCATCTATTGGATTAAAGTTACGGTGAAAAGGGTAAAAAAAGATTTTCACCTTTGAATCAATCGTAATTGAAGATAAACCCTAATGAGTTGCATCATATCAATTTTCGTATCAAGTGCAATTCATGGGGTTGGTGAGGTTAAAAATGATCAAGGGTCCAGATTATTTTTTACGCTTCTCATTTTAACTTATGTTCTTACACGATCATTCGTCAATACAAGTATAAATTAATGACAACAGTATACAACTGACATGGTCATGTCACGGCCAGAATCGCATTAATGACATGTGATTTTAATGTAAAATCATATTTGATTCGACCATTTTCTTATTCAATTTAACTAGTAAAACATAATCATAATAAAATATTATTATAAAACATTTACTGAAAAGATATAACCAAACTAATTCTTTAATGCCTTAAACTTTTTGATCCAAATAATCAATTGAGAAACAGTTTTTCAAATCTAAACAGGATAAATTCTATGTTTTTCAACAAACGGACACGTGTTCCAAGAAAGATGCCGATTGGTCAGATGGATGCGGTCCCACCGCAAGAGACAGCGTGCGATTATATGCTTGTTTGTGTTCGACCCCACAAGACAATTTCATTGCTTTAACTAGAGTGGCATTTCGGTGATTTCTTAGTGAGATCAGGGGTTTAATTGGAAAACCATTTTTATTGAACCCGCCGAGATTCATGGACCGGGGATTTTGACAGCCGGATTGCAAGAATGAATTGTGGCCCCATCTTTTGGTACGGACATTTATATTGAGGGTCCAATCAATTTTACAAAAGTGTCAAAACTGGTCCTCTTACAATTCAGGATGTTACTTAAGAGTCCTTTTACTATTCTCTTTATGCAATTAGTGTCCTGGATTGCTATATTTGTCAAAATAACCCTCGTTTTTTATTATTTAACATATCAAATAAAATAAGAAAATGAAATAGATAATATCAAATAATAATAAAATAACTACAATTAATATAAATAATATTTTAAAGTAAACTTTAATATTCATCATATGACAGATAACTTAAAACCATTTCTTTTGCATCAAAAACTTTATATGGTTCACGCTTGTTCAGCCTCAAAATACCGAAGAGGTTTGACGTTGTCTATATTCGCGAATCGAGAACGAAACTAACTTTAAGCTAAATGGATGAAAAGGGCTTGGCTTATTTG